CACCCCCCAGAGGGGATGGCCACGCCGCAATCCCTTCTCCTCCTTTCTCCTCTTGGGATCTTGGGCATGCACGCACACGTGCCCAGCGTGCGTTTAAGCCACCAGGTCTGGGACTCGAACCACAGTCGACTACGTGGGAGTCCAGTGACATAGCCATTACGCTAACTGCTGGTCCCTAAGAACTCATGGTTTTTAACTATTATACCATGATGGCCCTCTCATTCCAAAACCTGCCCCCCAGCCACACCCCAAAACATCTCTTTAGTGGATTTCTATTTGGTACATATCATGAAACTTTGACCATCTGTTTCATTTGCTCATCTTGTTCGTCTATCTGAAATGGCTTTCTAAACTTTGTCAAGCAGAAGAAATTAAAATACCCATCTAGACTTTGTTCAGCTGCCACCTTTTCTATCTCACCTTCCTTCTCCCACCTTCACGGAGTTAATTGCCTGTCTATGTTCTTTTAACACTTAGCTCACTTATCTTCCTGGCAGCAGTTATCACATTGTCTCATAATTTATGTCTCTGCTGCTGGATGGTGAAGTATGAGAGAGCCAGCCCCTCAGACACAGTAACAAAAACAATTTATTTCAGATGCCAGACTTTCTACTAAGGGCTTCCCAAGGATGCACTCAATGAATCCTCTCAATAATCCTAGCACATATGTTCTACTATAACCCTATTTTTATTGGTGAGACATAGAAAGGTTAAATGATTCACCCAAGATTATACATGCAGGAAGCACATAATAAATTATTTTTGAATTGAATTATGTCTAAGTAAAAATGCCTACTTAAAAAAATAATGGGAAATTCTTTGTTTTTCCATTGGGAAAATGAACTCTCAACATTTTTTTTGATGGAAGAGTAAAGAACAAATTCCTCGTTCATCTATTTAGTCAGGTTTCTTTCTTCCTTAAAGCTATGCAAAAAGAAAACTAAATAACTCTAGCTAGTTCAAGCTGAATTATCAATTTAGCATAGACATTTTTAATATTGTAACCACTTTACCTTACACTATAATAAATAACCTACATCCTTATCCTATGATCGTGAGTGCTCATGTAAGTTAAATATCATTTTATTATCTCTTCAAAACCTGATAATCCGGGAAATGCATTATAATATCAACTGTAGTATTGCTGTAAAGAATCTATTTTTCAAATACTGAAAGAAGGAAAAAAAAAAAGCAATTTCTGTCTCAAAGCCAGACTTGGAAATCTATGTCTTAGCATGATGTTGTCTTATGGCACTAGAAGGAGCTAGGAGCGCTGTGAATGCCAGGTATGGATAATTCCAAACTCCATACCACCTTTGACTTTGTTCAGGACATTCTCTTTAAGCGCTGAGGGCAAACATATTCTTGCCTTCTTCTGCAGGCCTTCCAGGGCTGCAACCCTTCTTTTAGCTGCCTGATACAGTACGAAGAAAACTGGCTCTTAAAAGCCTTTTAACTCAAAGGGTTTGAGTTGCTAATGGACACCATCCCTTTGGCAAAAGAAGATGAGTAAAAGCTTCTTCCCCATTTACAAAACCAGGTCTTATTTATATAACCTTGTTATAAAGTTAAAGGCTTTTGGCTTTAATAATATATTTTAGAATCTGTTCCATTGTAACATAAAGCAAAGAGTTAAAAGAAAAAGCTTCCCTATGTTGCTCCAGTTCCCAGTATGACTAACTTACTTGAATGTGTTAACTAATGACAAAAAATAAGCAAGCTATTTGCAAATGATATCTACATCTTAACTACTCTACAGACTAATGTTGAGTTTTTGCCTTGAAAGTGAACAATTCTATCACTTGAAGGTGGTGTTAAACAAAGTTTCTGAGGAAATCAGGACAGTCAGAGAACACTGACATCCCCACAGGTAAAGAAAAACAACAAAAAATTCCGGCAACAATATTCTAGTTGATCCTAAAATTTACATTCAAAGTGTTTATAAGTGAATATTAGCAAACATGAAAGTGATGTATTTTTGCATAGAAAAGCAAACTCACAGGATTTGGGAATTGTAAATAATCCACAACTCTGGTAACCATCTACCTTGATTAATGTCTTTAGTGTCTAAAACATCACTATTTATCATTTTAGCTTCTTTCTTTTCTTTTAATATGGGATTATTGTAAACTGTTATTTGTTTTTAATAATAATACAGTCTATGCTATACATGGAATAAAATCAAGCTGGAAACCAAGTAAATTTCTCTAATAGCAAACACACAGAAGTGAAGAGTTTTAGTTATGTTTGCAACTGTCCGATAGTAATTGCAATTGTAACACAACTCATTATTACAAAGCTTAGCTTATATGGCATTCGTATGCCTACACCATTACAAGTGTTTCATTGTATTTGCGATAGAAGTAAATTTTTGAAGGCCAAGACAACTTTTCAGCTGATAGGAGCTGAGAGAGTTTTGTTGTATCCCCAGTAAGGGATGACATACTTTAATAATAAAAGATATGCATCCTGTTCCATGAAGAATTCCCTTCTTTGCTTGGGCAGCCCAAGAGGGCTCCTGGGAATCATCACTAAGTGCTCTCTTTGACTGCATTTCACTCATGCATTCTTATGCTAAGTTGCAAAAAGGTACAAGTATGGTAGAAAAGACTCAACCTCCATGTCTTTTAGAGGGATTAAAATCTTGTGGAAGTTGGCATGTAATTTTGCTGTATTTTTGTACACAGCGTATCAACATGGAGACTGGTCCAAAACACAGCATGGTGAGTCATCTAAGTATGGGTGAAAGATTTCTGAAACTTTTTTTTCTAGATTTTTTTTTTTTTTTTTAGATTTCTGAAACTTTAAGTGGAATGAGGGGGGGGAACCTCCCTTTGACTTAAGGGAGTATGATATATGAGGTCCCAAAGAACACTAGGCAAACATAAGGCACCAAAAGGCAAAAGGAGAACAGTCAATTTATGGCATTCATACCACGTCCATCTTTGGAATGTTTACCTTCTTAACACTGGTAGTTCACTGTTGCTCTATTGATTATTTCTTTCCCATTAGACAAAGAAATTTCAATGAGAGATTGTTCTGCCCTGCCTTCCACTATATCCCGAACACCAAGCTCTGGGCTCAGCACATATTTGTTAAAATGAGTGAATCAACAAACAATTCAGGTAGCACTCAAGGCAGTGGAGGCAAATGGGTAGGTGGTCATATCCATGTGTTAAGGACAAAACAATTAACTTCTCTAGAAAATGCTGGTGTTGAAACCCAACCAGTTAACATCTGAAAAATATCATTTAGTCAACAAGTTGCCTGATCTACAATTTGTTTTATCTAATCACTACAATTAATTTTGTGTTTTTTAAATGGGGCCTCTGTGGGGAACTGGGCAAGTTACTCACCTCCTTAAGCCTTAGTTAATATCTGCACAGGATTCCACAGTCACAGATTGAATGCCTAGGTCCAGCCAGGTAGCTCACAGATAAATCCATTGTGCATAAAAAGACTAGATGAGAGTATGGACACATCCGTGCAAACACATCACTACAACTATAGAAAACAATTTAAAGACTGTTCAGCTCAGATGTGTATAATTAGTCCCCGAGAGACACATTATTATTGATAATGGGTATTCCTTACAGGGAAGTGGACTTCCCAGTGGGAATGTACTTTGATGAATTGAAGATTAGGGACATTTTCAAGTCGAATTAGTTACTGTTTTAAAATCTTCAATATTGGAAGGAGTGCCAAAAGAGAGAATAGGATTTGGTTGCTAAGACACGTCTTTTATTTTGTGATTAGTACTATTACTCATTGACTTACAAATGGCAGAGATTAACCGTCAGCCACTGCTTCCCCCTTAACCTACTAATACCGAGTTAGTCCAGTGTAGGCTTAAACAAAAGTGTGTACAGTTAAGCCTTGCACATGATCAGTGGGTTATTCCAAATAACTAGGTAGAGTCAGGGAGCCTCTTCTAGCTTTTGCTCTTGATCGCTCACTCCCTTACTCTCACTCCATGTCTCAGTATTTTTGTCTATGCAAATGATAGTGTTAGTAAACCTGTTCTCTCTGGCCTCAACATTATTCCTGAATTTCCTACTGATTGCTGGTGATAACTGAACCTCTAAACAAAGTTCTCCATATAGTATAATCATTGTAATTACATCTCTACTGTAAATTTTTTTGAGTTAGAAACATATCAGAACATCTCTTGATAATATTTCCTTTATTACATTTTAGAGAATGATTTTAGTACCAATGAGGAACTTTTCTTGTTAGAACCAACTCACTGTTGTGCAATAGACTTTGTCTCAGATCCAATAAACTTTGGTGTAAAGTAAAAACGAGGTCAGAGTGCTCACAAAATCATGGCTTGAGCTGTCCTTGTAGGAGCAAAACTAAAGTTGCATGTAGCATTGAAACATTTCGGTGATATAATTTTCCCTATTTATATTCATATTGATAGTCTCTTTACAGAAGTACCATATCAGTAATAAACTCTGTTCTGTTATATTACTATTCTTATTTTTCAATCCTCCCAAATAGACCAAATCACACACATAAAAAAAAAAAAAACCCACAACAATGGAAAACAAATAAAAATAATAACTTCTTCTGGCTTTGTCATAATGTTATTATAAATCATTCTCATAAGTTACTTATTTCGAACCCCAAATTTCTGCTATGCCCAAGTTAAAGTGTGCTGTTTATATTAAAATTCCAAACCAACCAAGTAAGCATGTAAACATCTCTAAACACTAAAACCATGTATGAATAAATGGAGAGATGATTATGACGAGCTACCAAATAAAGCTTGTACAGATAAAATTATGTCAGTTTATCAGCTTTATGCTATCCTTCATACATTTCCTGTTTCAGAATATAGTAGCTATGAAAAAAATAATGAAATATGATCACAGAGCTAGACTTTCTGGCTTGTGCTTACCTCCCAGAATTTAAAAAAAAAAAAAATGGTTATATGCCAAAAAATGTAAAATTTATTCCAAGAAAAGTAACAGGCTACACGGGTAAATTTTGGCAAATGCAACTTTATATTGAAGTTCACACATCTGTTTCTTAAAGAATGTGACTCACAGACTCTAATGTATTTCTAAAATACCAGAAATCATATTATAAGCTTTCACAAGTTAAAACTGAAATAATTGAAACGACCAATACACTGAATGTGCAGAAAGTATAAACAAGACTGTGCCTTCGGTAGAATAAATGCTTCACAAATTGTGCAGGATGTCATACTAAGGCTGCGGTCTCCCCTTGACAGCTGACTTAAAATATAAACATACATCAACTGCCTGCTTCTTAGAGCACACTAGCATGGGTAGCACACCTCAGAAGAAAATCCCTTTATTCCAGTGACGTGCACCTTCATTTTCAAACCATGTGAAGAAAAAGGAAAAAAGAGTATTAAATCATCTCCCATGCACTTCCAGTTGCATGACCGTGACCAGTTTCAGATTCCACTTCCCTTGACTATTTGCTCCAATGCTAAATAAGATGAAGGATACTAGATAACCCTTTAAGGCAACATGTGTTTATTCTGCATTATTTGAACTGCTCAATTGTGACCGGCTGGTACCATTAATGTTGCCTCCCAAACCAGTATCTAGCATTTGTAAAATAGAAACGAATTGGAAAAACTTTATACCAAATCAACGAAACTCACATAATACATTTCAATGCTAGCAATTTCACTAGTAGATAAGGAAAGTGGTATTTAGAAATAGTCATGTCTTAATACAAAACAAAAAAGTAAACTCAATTGGAACCAATAGACTGCTTTGGAATGCTCCCCCAAACTTACAAGGCGATTTCGAAAGTGTAATATTCCAATAATTCATGGCACGTCTTTAGTGGATTACAGTACTTTAAGTCCCCAAATATTTTAGTCTTTGCAAAACAATAAGAGTATGAAATGTTTTAAAGTCTTCAAACTTCTAAAATTAGTTTTTATCAACACATTTACCTCATGTCAACTTAATTTATTAAGATGTCCAATGCTAATTTTTTTGATGTTTTTTCATATGTAGTGATATACACAGCATTTAGCACTGATACTTAGCACCTGCTACTTTCGTTATCTAGTTTTCAACCACATAAAGAAACTTAGGGCAGTGGTTCAGTCCTTTCTGTATTACAAACCTTCACCAGCAGTCAGCAGGATCACTCCAAGATTTAAAATAGGATTATAGGTGAACTATTGCAAAGACTGCAGAACGTTGCCCAAATCCTTATATCCGCTGATCCCATTCTTGAATTTCTTCTCAAGATATGGCTATGGGCCACAATTGCTTAGCAGAGAAGGTCAGTGTTTCACAAGGCTAAAGATTTACAGAAGCTCCCTCATATAACACAGTAAGGTTCCCTTGGTAACCTGGATTTTCTGCAGTAAAGAAGGGTTGTGCTGAAACAGCGCCTCAGCTCCCTGTTGGAGAAAATGCAGACAAAAGGATTGATTCCTGCTTGGGCAAAACTCATCCAGACAGCGGCTGTTAGAAATCCCCCTGGTACTACAGGCCCTCTTGCAAAAACTCTCCAATAACAGGCCACCAGGTAGGGGCCCCACAAGGTTAGGAAGAGGAAAGTCATGATATAGAACATCCTGCTGATTCTTTTCTCCATTTTGAACTCGTCTAAGACCAATAGCCTTCTTCTGCCAGTGGTGTTTGCATTTTGCCTGATGCCCAGCAGAGTGGGTGGTGTGGGACCCCTTCCAAA